TATACAGGGGTATTATCAACTCTTCTATTTTTTAGGTTGATAATAGTTACTCTGGGATATTAATAGTACACAAAAGTTCGCTCTGGCATTCGTTAACATCTCACTTAGGTGCTTCTCTACAAATTTAGTTAGCTTAGAACGATTACGATCGATATTTAAGAGGAACTACATTGTTTTTCATACTTCAATTGACGTGTCGTTTTATTCTCTATAAAGAAGTGCTTGAGTCTAATAAATGTAAGGATTCTTTTTTTAGAAGAATCTATTTCCGCCAATTTTACATAATATTAAAGAATCTGAAAGATATCCTGTATATCGTAGTCATTTATAGCTATCACCAATTATATAAAATTATCACACTTTTTCATACTGCTAATGTTTCCAACTTTCTCCTATCCATCACCACCGTGTGACGTTTTGGAACTACTGTAATTTAGATTCAATTTCAAGCTGCGAAGTATATAACACGCACTTGAGAGATAAGGTTACTCTATAAAGAATCTTTCGTATTTTTTAAATTTCAATATCTACATCATCTAGCGTGAAGTTTGAACGTTCACAGACATCTATAGTATCAGGGAATACTAAAATATTAATGGTACTATTAGTTAGGTGTTTCCTGGAGAAACGATTCTTTCTCTATCGATTAAAAGGACTGATTCGAATTTTTGCGAACAATGTTCGGTGGCTCGCCTTGACTAAAATCATTCCTCATCCGCAGTCGCAGTATTAAATTGGCATGGCGAAGCCCGCGAGCGAGCACGGAACAAATATTTACCCCAAAATGGTCAGTGAGCGCGGGCCACGTGCAAAATAACGGAGGCGAAAAAACGGGGAAAAATGTACACGGAATCCGTATATGAAGCGGCCGCTGCGACTCGTCTCTTCGCGGTATTATGCGCGATACACGACGTGACTCGCCTGCAAACATCATAAATTTTCCATTTATTTAGCAAATCTGTTTACCCGACTCCGTAGATGATAACGATTGTTATCGGTGTGTTATCGGTGATCGGTGATCGGTGATCGCATATTTTCCAGCAGACCGCCTGAAAAACGCGTGACCATCGACCGTTTTGTTAAAGTACGACGAACATATCACGGTCACAGGTGGAAATTATTCTGTGGAACAGGAAATTCGAAAATTTTCATTCGTTATACGAGAACGATTATTCGATGAAACCTTGCTTCGTTGTTTCAGATTGAGGTGGAAGTAACGTCTGGTGTTTTTTTACAAATTTTTCATTTCTCTTGCTTTCCCTTTTTTCGTATTTTGTTATCGATTTCCTTTTGAAGATGTAAAAAGCATGATAATATTTGCTTTATCCGGCATCGTGTTCAGTTTTAAAAACACGATAGTGGGAATGCCAGAGGCTCGAGTCTATAACTACATTAGCTACTCGATAAAACAGACTACGGTCCATCTGTTTCTCAATTTTTCCAAATGAATTATTCAAGCCAGATTCTTCAAATCTGACAATTTCAAAATTGCAAAGTTTCATGAAAAATGGAGATACGAACCTGAAGATTTTCTAAGATCCAGTACGATAATATTTTTCTACTTTATTGAAATAGGGACAACGAATTACATTAATAGTAATCTCACAGAAAACCGTTAGAAAAAATTAAATTCGCAGAAGACATCTCTATGACAAAAAGATTTTCCTGAAATTTCATAAAACTGTAGGATCTAAATCGAACAAGAAATAATGATGAAAAAAATTTTGAACGTACTCCTGAAGCTGCCTTACACAATTACAACGTCGGGGAAAAGAATTCAATAACAGGAATTATTTTAAAAAATTGCAAATAATACATTGCGTTAATGCGATCCTAGTTTCAATAAGTTATCGACTTCATTCTTCAATAAGAAGCCAAAGAATATTTATTTTAACCGCCAAAAAATCAGAAAAAAAGATTCACGTATAACTAACATCTTGGACCTAAAGGGAGGAAAATTTTCCTATGTATCGCAGCGTGCATGAAGAGGAACTACGTTAGAAGGGAATATTTCCGGCAGATTGGAATATCGGAGTTTCCCGGACACGCGGAAAACAATCTTGCATGATCCGTCACCCTCATAGAGGTTCTAGAAGCAAATCGTTGCGTTCGGCTGGTAGTTAGGGGCTGCCCGTAATACAGTAATGAGGGCTTACTGCCATGGAAACCAAAGCCGCTTACAGCCAACCACTCTACTCCCAACCACCCCCTGCCACCCCTTTGTCTCTCTCCCGCTCTATCACTCTGACCCGTCCTATTCTCTGATTTCCTATATATCCGCGATATCCTTCTCATCCGACGAGTTTCGCGAAAAAATTGTGAAAACCGTTCATGGACGTCCATTGTTTCTCCACGTTGCGTTGGTTCGTTCATTTTTTTCCCCGCGTATCAGAAAAGAAGATCGAGGGAAAAGCAGTAAGAGGTCTCATCTTTCCTGGATGCTGGTTGTCTTCTGAGAAAAGTGAAATTTAGTTCTGCATGCTGGTCGGCTCTGTTGATACAGCTTGTCTTTAATCTGAATTTATCTTGTACCTTTGAATGTTTCGGCCGTGTCTTGTACACGATATGAACAAGATTTGATGGTAATTGCGTAGTTGGAAAGTAAATTGCAAGAGAAGGAAGATTTTATTATCCGGCTTTAGGTATTCCTCGTTTTAAACTCACTATGTGGCAAAATTGAGGCAATTGAGGCAATTATCAAAAATTCAGAAAGTTACATAGGTAATAGATAGCAGGGAAAAAACGTTGAATTAATAAAAGGTTATATACATCGAATGAGTAAATAGACAGATGTATAAGAAGAAAGAAGACTTAAAATTTAATAGAAGACTAATAAAAGAGGTGAAGATATCCTTAAAATACATATATTCCAGACATAAAAGAATATGAACATCGATTTTGATCATTTTAGTGGGCATTCAAATTGTTCAATTTCTTCGAATAAACCACCTTCAACTTTTATTCGTTCGTACTAAAAACTCATTCCTGAAATAGTCAAAATATCTGTCTTGCTAGTTAACTTCATACTTTCCTTTGTTAATTTCTGTAGTAACAAGAAGATAAAGGAAACGAACTTCTGTACCTCTTGTCACGCCGCAAATAGCAAATTTTTGCAAAAACTGCCTCTATAACGTTTCGTCGTACCTGTAACATCTCACCACCCTAAGCATCAAACGAGAAACGACTTGATCGTACAAAGTGGCATCAGCCCTCGATCTTTGATTTCCCGAAGGAAGGTGGAAATATTTGGAAATTTACTTGCTCTGCTGGCCGATATCGTCGTCGACGATTCGGGACAGGGGTGATCCATAAAAACGGCTGGCATTTAAACCACCGTTTAAGGACGATCGTCGATGTGTGCGTGTCACGGTGAACGGAAGAGAGTCGATATCGCGCAGACCCCGCAATTTCCTTTCCCAATTTGCCATAAACAAGTCGCCTCCCCTCGTTAACCTACGCTCGTGACTGCTCTCTTGAAAGTTGCTCTCGCGACGGTAAGAAAGAGGATCAGGAAAGAAGAAGACGAGGAAAAGGGACGTCGTTGCGAGTCGGTCGAATTAAAGGAATTAAAGGACGCCTCGTTACTCGTATCTCTCGATCCTTGCCACCCTCTTGGCCGGAAAAAACGGGCCAGGTCCGAAGGGAGAACGACGAAACGCAGGGTGAGCAACTTGCTCGTTCTCCTTTCTTAGCTCGATCCTTGGTCGCGAGAAAGCGTTTGCATTAAGAGACCGTAATGGCAGTGATTATTAGGCTGCATTATTCAACTCCGACCTATGGGCCTCTGATTATTTTTTTCTTTCCCTTCTTATATTTTTTCTCCTACAACCGCCCACCCCCCATCCCGCCTTCTCCACGTTTGTCGAAGGAACGACTGAATTATTGAGTCGCGGGAGGCGAGAATTAAAAAATCTCCGGCGACGACCGGCCGAGATATCGAGAGTCACGGAGACGACGACACTGTTTGCCGGTTGAATTAAAAATGAGGATGAAACGGAGGGGCCAGCTGGCTCTCCTCGCCTCGCGTCCGAGGAAAAACGAGGCCATCAGTCGGCCCACCACCTTAATGTACCGACTACTGAATGATTTAAGACGCCGACCCCCCCTCGAGAAAGATTCGCCGAGCTGCATCGGCTACGGTTGATCGAATTTTTTCAATCGCTCTTCCTCGAGAGGCCCTCGCTTAATTGTCTGCCCGCCTGAAGAACGCTCAACGGAGGGATTCTTAAGGAAAGTTGGAAGAATTAAGAGCTAGATTTCTGAAAATTCTTTCTTTCCACGTCTGTTTCACGAGATCTTTAACTATATTTGTTCTGGGCTATATTTCTTCGACTATGTCCACTTTTTCTTTTTACCATTAGATAATATGACTCACTCGTGCCGATCAACCCCATAAATCAGAATGCATAAAAGAAATGAAAATTGATAGAACTATTTTTCTTAAATTGACTTTAAAATTTGCGATTATTCATGCTGTGCCTTTACGATAAAAAAATTCATGAAAGTGAGAATTCTTTTTTAACGTGTTGAATATCGATTATGTGTCTGGATACAGTGAAACTGATAACTATATGAAAGAGTTTATCGATTTGACTTCTACGTCGTTCATACATGAGATGCCCAATTTTTACGGGTTCCTACAATACTTCACTGAGCCGTAAAAAATATTCAAAGGTAACTTCCAAAGGAGGATTTAAATTGTATACGAATTCTTACCTTTACAATAGTGTACGATAATACAGATTTATCTACAAAGATAGGAAAATTTATCGAGAAAGAATATCAGAATGTCGTAACAAAATTGAACATTTTACGCGTTATAATCTAATATATCTATAACATAACATATGTGAATTTATTAAGAAAGGGTAAGTCGAAGATGTAGAGAATTAAATTCCAATAATCATTTTGCGATACCTCTTCGCTTAAGTTATGACGTAAATTTGTTTTTCTTATATGGGGGAAGAAGTAGAGGAGTATAAAATATGGAAATATCTTACCTCTTCCGCTTCTACCGACGAACCTAAGATCGTTGAATTTCGCCACCTGGTTCTTCATAACCGCCGTGGAATTTCGCAATTCCGCGCAGCAATTTTCATCATTTCCGGCACGCACTGTCACCAGAGTCCCATCACCGACCTCGCCCAGAGCTACTACCTTGAACGCTACCGGAAGTGTCTTGTTTGACCGCCAATGTTGCGGTAGCACCGTACAGACCACGTGTGGCGAGCCTGTTGACAATAATCGCCGAATCATCAACAAATGAAATTCTAACACAAAATATAATCGTACATTAATTACTAAATTACTAAATTACTAAATTAAAAAGATCTAGGTTTTCACCGATCTACAATACTAAAACCCGATAAAATAGAATGCCAAGATTTTTCGAACAAAAATTATATTCAATTTTATCTCTACGCAGAAATTCCCCAGTATGCTCCGAATCTTAAAAACTAACTATTAACCCTTCCGACGAAAAATTAAACAAGAAGTAAAATTAAGAAAGCTAAACACCCACTGGACAACGAATTTGTAAACTTTCCTAAACGAAAATTAATCGATATTTTTTACCTGTTCGCACAAGTTCTCCAGGATGTTCAGCAAACAGGCCATCCAAAGTTCTCTCGGCGAGCAGATCCGCGGTGAGTGCATAATCCGGTATATTATTTCCACCAGTGGATCCTTGTGGAGGGACCTCGTTGGCCAGGTGCATTCTTCTCCTCGATGACGAGGTCCTGGTTCTCCTAATTCTCCCGCCACCGATCTGATGCGTCGAGTTCCCTTGATGGTCCTGATGACCGTTTCGAACCAATCTCGGATCCGGATAATCTAAGCCTAGAGGCCGATCCTCGGGGCGTGCATCTCGTAAAGGATTCGTCATGAGAACAGGCTCATTGGACTCTTTTCCGGAAAGATCCTCCTCGCCGACAAACCTCGATGAATTCGACTCAATTTTTTTCTACTCGATCGGCCAGCTTTTCCTTTATTAACTCCGATCCATCGCACGCTCTATCAAAAATTCGACGGTTTATCTTCTTTATTTTTATTTGTTATCGTCGAAAATGTATCCAACGACTAACGATATCCAATGATAATTAAGTTCCGTGGTAAAATTCAACTAATAAAGCAGCATCTCTTTTCTTCTTTATTTTGACACGTAGCCAAGCCTTTTATCTTTTCTATTTTTGTCTTTTATAATCAAAGTGTGCACGCAATGTATCCAGTGATAATTAAGTTCTTTATTAAGATTGAACTAATAGAGTAGATCGATGATGGTCATTATTTCGGTAGCAGCTGATTAAAGATAAATTTCCGGTTCCTTCGGTGGCACGCGCACAACTTGGTCGGTGCCGCGTGGCCCAGGATCCTTTGATCCTTATTTCATTATCCCGCGACAGGGCCGAGGCAAGAGCATCCGTTTGCAAATTCTTCCTCTCGTCTCGATTGCCAACTCGCGGGGAAAATTCGTTTTATTGAAATCGACGTCGTCCCTCGTTTCTTCGTTTCTTTGATCGAAATGCACCCCACTACGTGATTCGACGGAAGTGAAACCAACCTTGACTATCTCTTCTGCTACTCGCGTTCATAAATGAATAACAACGATTCACGATAATACACTCACTCTGAAATCTGGCTTCCAGTGTTCCGCGGTCGATCGAAATTACTCCACGTTCGTGTCACATCAGCACTTCTGCCCGACCATCTAACAGGTGTTAACTCTGCACCCGGGATCCTCCGAGCCAAACCGCGGCACAAACCTCACGTTCGCACATTATTCTTCCGGAGAATTCTAACTCCCATACACCAGGTTTTATTTCAAACGACAAAAGATTCGGGGATCCACTTTCCGAAGACTTTACGAAAGATTCAGGCATCCATTATTATACATAGGAATCATCAAATCAGTCACTACACAACACGTTTCTTCGAACAATAATAGTCACGAATTTAAAATCAGTTCGAGATCTTTAGTCTCGCCAGATACGTTCCATGTATTCGCCGACGATCATTTCCGCTGTCTCGATAATAATTCAATCCTTTTCTCAACAGCATGACACTTTCTTAACATTTTTCAAGACATAATGACGTGACAGGGGAAAACTATAAATTTCTTCGGTTCTGTTGCCTATCAGCGATGAGGCACAGGACCAGATTTCGAGAGACACCTCTTCGTGGCTGACGATTAATCAATTGTTTCTTCGGTAACGCTTCTTAGACGAGGGAGGTTGCAGTTGGCGCGACGATGGAAAATTGTAAATTCCACCGGTTTCGTTGGCTGTCAGCGATGAAGCACGGGACCAGAAGGCGAATGATACTTCTTCGTGGCTGGTACTTCGGCGGGTGGCAGCGGCAACTTCCACGGGGAAGTAGGATAGGGTGTTTAACTCGCGCGGTCTCGTTTCGGTTCGGCGGTGGAAGATGGCGGC